AATGAGATAATACTATGCAAAAGAAGTTTGAAAAAAGTTATACATGACATTTTTGTAATTAAAATTTTGCCACTTGAAAATACAAATAAAACAATAATCTTTCTTATTTGAGGAGAAAAAGAATAGGAAAGGAAAAATATCAATTTCAAATCTTAACCCAAACAAACTTTTGGTCCTTATCTTAGAATAACAGCTTATGATTTCACTTTTTAATAATTGATTACTTTTAATGACACATATGATCCACAAATGGTTTTCAGTCCCCAGCAGGAATTCACTTACTTTATTATACAAAACAAGTAAACTCTATAAAAACTTACCATGCACCATTTCATGCAAAGTGCTGTACTATATACATAGAAACAGGAATAAATAAAGTCTTTATCTACAGGATTTACAGACTGCAGTTGACAATAAATATAGTAAGTAGAATGGTGCAATGGAAAAACTCTAGTGTAAAATAAATGTGTTTAAATCCTGACTCTGCCACCTATTTGCTGTATCCCTTAGAAAGTACATATCCACCCTCAGTTCATGTTCTCATCACTTAAATGTAATAATACTGATTACCTGACTTTGAGTCTTTATTAATTGGGAAGATGTATGATATATGTAAAGCATCTGGAACACAGTAGGTGCTTCTCAAATATCATCCTCTCTTTTCCTGAACCAAGTTCACAAATGAATGACCCAGCCTACTCAAGGTAGAATTTGGCTAATGCCAAAAAAAAAAAAAAAGAGTCACAAATGAAGATGTCACATCTAGTTAGGGGAACTAGAAGAGGTTTCATAGGTGTAATACTTGAAATAAGTCTTGGAGGATGTAAATTTCGATTCATATAGTTAAAAGGCAAAAGCAATAAAAATAGGCAAAAGGGCACGGGAAAAAAAGACCCAGGGTAAAAAAAGAGCTGAGTGTGCTTGGCAAAGAGCATTACTTCAGTATGAAAGGAGAATCTTCAGTAAACAGAAAAAAGAGACAAAGCAAAAAGGTAGTTTAAGGTTCCACCGTGAAAAGACTTGATGATCACAAAGATTTCATATTTGAGAGTACTAACAGTTTGTACTGAATGCTTCTCAGTAACACAATCATTTAGTTATAATGTTTTGAGATGTCAGCAGTTCATAGAATAAAATGGAATGCTTACACAATTTTTTCAGTTTTAAAAGCGTTTTACATGGGAAGAATTTTAGGAACTTACATGCAGAAATAACTTTCCCTTAAAGATAGCCCATTAACTTCCCAGAAAATAAGGCCCTGCAGGGATAGGTATCATCATACTGTTAGGAAAAGAAACGAGAATTTTCACAACCCATAAATCAAGGTGGATTATGAGAAATCTTGCCTCAGATCATATAAATTAACATCAATAGTAAACAAAGAAAACAAATGCAGGATTCCCTCTGCTGGATCTGTTACTTCAGACAACATCCCTCTTCCTTAAGCATTTTTAAAGATAATATATCCATTAGTATTTCATTAGAGTTCCAAAAGTAGAATTGCATGGTAAAAACATAAGCCTATTTTAAGAGATTTCGGAAGCATGTTGAAAAACTTACCTCCAAAAACACAATACCCATTTAGACCTCAACTAGCAATGTTATCAGAATACATATTTCCAGAACTAAGTCTTACAATATTGAATGTTATCATTTTCTTATTACTAACTTCTGACAAGTTTATAGCCAAAAATACCCTACAACTTTACTATGTATGGCTTATTAGAATTACACATTTTGTTCATGTTACTGTTAGTATAATAATTAATACTATATCATTACACCAATGATGTAGTATAATGATAAAAAATAAATACTGCCTTTTATATAATGATTTATTTTTCTTTTCTGACAGCCTAAATACAACTTTTGCAAATTTTTAATCAAGTTGTGTGTATTTTCTTACTATATGGAAGCAATTGGTTATACATTACAAATATTTATCTTTGGGAATATTTATTGCAATTATTTTCTATAGTGAGTCTGCAATCTATTTTCTTTATTAATTTATTTTAGATACTTTAAAAACATTTTATGGGCTAGGTGTGGTAGCTCAAGCCTGTAATCCCAGTACTTTGGGAGGTCAAGCCAAGAGAATTGCCTGAGTCCGCAGGTTCAAGACCAACCTGGGCGACATGGTGAGATCTTGTCTCTACAATAAATCAAAAAATTAGCCAAGCATGGCAGCACGTGCCTGTAATTCTAACTACTTGGGAGATTGAGGCAGAAGGCTCATCGGAGCCCAGTGGGTTGACGCTAGGGTGGCCATGAGAGTGCCACTGCACTCCAGCCTGGGCGATAGAGTGAGACTCCAACTCAATTAAAAAAAAAAAAAACCATTTTATGTAGTCAAATTACCAACCCTTAGCTTAATCATTTCGATCTTTGGTGTCATTCTTAGAAAGATAACTCAGTTTCAAATTATATAAAACTTTGCCAGTGTTTTTATTGTTTTTCTCATAACTTATTTCTTCTTAAAATTAAAACATGTGCTCAGTCTAGAAATTTATTTTGATATATAAAATATGAGTTTAACATTCTTTTTATCCAAATTTGTAGATACAAGTAGCAACAGCAATTGCTGAGTAACATCTTTATCATATGCTAAATTCTTACATAGACTTTGAAATATGTATAAATGTTATATTCTGTTCTCTTCATCTGTGAGTCTCTACCAATTTGAGAATAATACTAATTAAATTATTTAGCTTTACAATAACGTCTCTATATTTGATAGGAAAAGAGCATACTCATTAATTTTCTTTTTTCATTTCTTTTTTTGGCAAAAATTGTTCATTTTTGCTTTACAAATGAATTTTAGAATTATTTTGTTAGGATACTTCCACCACGAAATTTGCTTGGTACTCATTGCAAATAGATTAAACCTGGAAATACTCTCTACAAAATAAAACATTTCCATCCTAGAACACCATATATATTTGTATATAATAAATTCTCTTTTATATTACTCTGTGATATCTTCACATTAGTTCTGTATATTACCTTCTAAGTAAATGCATAGAAAAATTATATCTTGAGCCCAATAGTGAAAAGGCATTTTTGGCAATATATTTCTTACATGGGCGTTGCTAATATAAAAGAGGCTGATTTGCTTTCTAAGTGAACCATCTAACCTAAATTCTTATTAGTCTTAATTACTTTTCAGTTGATTTTCCTGGCTTATCCAACTAGACAATGATAATGTATAAATAATTATAATATGCATGTGCTATGGTTTGAATGTTTGAGTTCTTCCAAAATTCATGTTTAAAATTTAATCCCTAAAGCAATAGTACCAAGAGTTGGAGCCTTTTGGGAAGTGAGTAAGTCACCCATTAATGGGGTTAGTGCCCTTACAAAAGGGCTTGAAGGAGTGAATTTGTCCATTTTGCCTTCACCATATGAGGATACAGAAGCTGCCATATATAAGGAACAGGTCTTCTCTAGATATCAAATCTGCTGGCATCTTAATCTTGAACTTACTAGCCTTCAGAACTATGAAAAAATAAATTATCTTGTTTATAAATTACCCAGTCAAAGGTATTTTGCTATAGCAATAGGAATGGACTAAGACATTCATGGCTCATTACAATATGTACACTTTATTCTTTTTTTAACCACATTTATTTAATACAACTTCTAAAGCATTGGTTAAAAGCATATTCACTTAACTCATGATGTTAATGTAAATATGTGTTAAATCTATGGTGGGTATGAAATTTCAAATAGATATTCTGATCACGTTATTGAAATAGTATACTGCTTGTAATCTAGCAAGTTTTGTTTTTAAATCAAGAATGCAGGCCAGATGTTGTAAAATGTCTTCCTAGAATGTATCAAGATACTTTATTTCCCTCACCTAGTAATGTATTTATATTAACACATTGTTTTAAATATCAAACTATCCCTGCATTTCTAGAATAAAGGCTGCATACTTCTGCTAAATTACTTAATTAAAACACTTGAAATTGACTTGCTAAAATTTTATTTATTTTATTTTTAATTCATAAATGTGAGATTAATTAGTAGTTTTTCTTTTTTGATGCTAGTTTTATCTGGTTTTGGTATCAAAACGAAGCTAGATGAAATGACACAATTTTCTGCAGGCAAATACTCCCAACTAAGAACAACTAGAACAGGAAGTTTAAAAAAATTGCAGAGAAAATATATATTTAAAGACACTAGAGAGCTGTGGAGCAATGAGGACTAAAGTGAAGGGAATTGCAGAGAAGGCATATCCTTTCAAAGGTGAGCTGAGTATCTGCCGCTAATTCTGGGGGCATGTGCCACACCTAGGCATGGACAACAGACTAAGAATCTTAAGATCAGGCTGTGAGTAGTTACTGGGGTGAATTGAAAACATGAAATCTTTGCTGCTTTCAAGGGGGCTAGAGTGACACAATTAGAGATTTAAGGAAAAGTTTTCTCCTCAAGACATTTTCTGAATTCAAAAGTGACATAGCTAAAGAAAATAAGGATTCATCCCCAAATTCTCATAGTTTCAGTGTTTCAGAGAAGAAGACATACTAGTGGAAGAATACATAAAAATGGTGGGAGATGTCTTAATCTATTCTTGCTGATATAACCAAGTATTGTGTAACTTATAAACAACAGAAATTTATTTCTCACAGTTCAAGATCAAGGTGGTAGCAAAGTGTCTGGCGAGGGCCCACTTTCTAGTTCAAAAAAGGAGTCTTCTTGCTGAATCTTTACATGGTGGAAGGAACACAGCAGCTCTCTGAAGCCTCTTTTATAAAACATTAATCTCATTCATGAGAGTGAGCCCGCATGATCTATTATTTCCCAAGGCCTCACTTCCTAATGTCATTACACTGGTTATTAATTCAACATATGAATTTTTGGCATACACAAACACAAGCTTTTATATATTGAAGAGCATCCTGCTTAGTTACAGCAGAAACTAACATCTTTCACCAAACTAGATTTTAAGGGAACTTTTCTTTTATATGAAGGGCAAAGTAAGAGTTATTGTCACTTACAGGAAGATGTGTGAACACAGCAAAAGTGCTACGCAGAAAGGCAATGAGGTCTACTAGATAATCACTAGCTTTGTTGCCCAAATCTCCTGTCATCCAGTCGTAGTCTGCCAGCTGTAGGAACTGGTCAATCTTCTGGTTTAAGTTAGTATAAATCTCTTCTTCAGCTGCATGTCTAGCATCCTAGGAAATAATATAAAATTTGAAAAATTATTCAGATTTCCAGTAGTGTATAAATAGAGCAGAAATTTATATGAGCCTGAAGTCATTTCATACCTATATTCATTAAGTAATAAATTATGAATACTGAAACATGTAACAATCTCCCTTAATTTTTCTTTTTTCTAAAGCATTGTGTAGTCTTTTCTCTCTCTCTTTTTTTTTTTTTTTTTTGCTTTTTTGTTTTTAAGAAAAACTATTATGTTGCTTAACTAAGTATGGAAACTGCCTTCACTGCCATCAGCAATCTCCATCATTTTTTTACTTTCATATCTATGTTCAAAACTAAACTTGCTCTCAAGATTCTTTCATCTCTTCTAGGACTTCAAGAAGCTTCCTTCCTATAATACCAAACTCTACTTATCCTCTAGTTCCTTCACTTTGCTTATAGGTATACTGAAGTTTCAACTTAATGCTATGTGTTCCCACTAGTTACTATCATACACACCCCCTTTCATTTTCAAAGTTTTGTACATTACAATGTTTCCTAAAATGAGTTTTAAGTAACAGTAATCCTAAAAGAGACTAAAACAACAACAGAGTTCCTTGATTACTTAAGTTTGAGATAGCCTGTTTAAAAGATTCATGATGTACACTAGGATAGTAAAAGCTCTAATAAGTGTGATGAGATTACTGTTCCTACAAAAATATCATACCCGCAACAGTGTCTTTCTCAGAACAAAAGTTTTTAATTTTAATAAATTCAAAATTATCAAATTTTTTTCTTTCATGGATCATGCTTTTAATTTTGTATCTAAAAAGTCATTGCCAAGACCCAAGGTCACTTAAATTTTCTCCTCTGTTATTTTCTAGTTTATTTTTATTGTTTTGCATTTCACACATAGACTTTACATTTCACATTAATTTTTGTGAAAGGTAGAAGGTCTCTGTCTAGATTATTTTTATTTTACATGTGATGTTCAGTTGTTCCAGCACCATTTGTTGAAAAGACTCTACATTCTCATTAAAGTGCCTTTGCTGCTTCTCAAAGATCGGTCCATTGCTGGACTCAATATTCTGTTCCATCAATCTATCTGTCTATTATTTTGCCTATAAAATACTGTCTTCATTACTATAGCTTTAGAGTAAGTATTGAACTAAGTAGTATCCATTCTCTGATTTTGTTCTTTAATATTCTGTTGGCTACTCTGGGTGTTTTGACTTTCCCTTTAAAGTTTGAATCAGTTTGTCAACAATTTGGTAAGATATTGCCTGGGACTACATTGTATACATCAAGTTGGAAAGAACTGAGATCTTGACAATTTCAAGTCCTCTTATCCATGAACATAAAATATATCTCCATTTATTTAGTTCTTTTAATTTCCTTTATGAGAGTATTGTAATTTTCCTCACATAGATCTTGTATCTAGTTTGACAAATTCATACCTAAGGGTTTTATTTTTATTTCTTGGTGTTAATACAAATGTTGTGCTTTTAATTTCAAGTTCCAGTTGTACGTTGCTATGGTAAAATGAAGCAATTGACTTTTGTATATTAACCTTGTATCCTGAACTTTGCTATAATCATGTGTTAGATTTATATTGTATTAGTTTTTTTTATTTCCTTAAGATTTTTTACATAATCAATAATGCTATTTACAAACAGAGACAGCATTACTTCTTCTTTCCCAATTGGTATGTCTTCCCTTGCCCCTCATCTTATGGGATACTGAATAAGAGTGATGTAAAGAAACATCCTTGCGTTGTTCCTGATCTTAGCAGGAAAATGCGTAGTTTCTTACCATTAAATATGAAGTTAACTGAAGATGTTCTTTATTGATTTGAGGAAATACTCCTGTATTCTGTTCTGCTAGGAGGTTTTGTCACAAATGAATGCTTTCCTGTATTATTGGTATAATTATATGTTTTTTTATTTTTAGTCTATCTATTTTTAGTCTAATTGATTTGTGAATGTTGACAACCTTGCTAACCTACAGTAAATTCCCCTTGGTTGCAGTGCATAATACTTTTCATACATTGTTGTATTTGATTTGTTAATATTTTTTGAGGATTTTTGCATCCCTGTTCATGTGCAATACTGGTATATAGTTTTCATTTATAGTAAGTCTGGTTTTGGTATTAGGGCAATGCTGGCTTCACAAAATGAGTTAGGAAGTATTCCTTCTGCTACTTTTTTCTGGAAAAGATTGCAAAGAATTGGCATAATTTCTTCCATAAATGTTTGATAAAACTCACTAATGAACCCATCTGGACCTGCTTCTTTCTGTTCTGTCAGATTATTAATTATTGATTCAATTACTTTAATAGATATAAGTCTATTTGGCTTACCTGTTTCTAATTGTGTGAGTTTGGATAAATTGTGTGTCTTTCAAGAAATTAATCTATTTCAAGTTGGTTTTCAAACTGTGGGTAAAAGTGATTCATAATATTCCTTTATTATTATTTTACTATCCACGGATGAGATCAATAGTGACTCTTGTCTTTTATTTATGGTACCACCATTAGGATTTTGTCTTCTCTTTTTTCTTGATTAACATAGCTCAGGTTTTATTAATTTTACTGATCTTTTCTAAGAGCCAGCTTTTGATTTAGCTGATTCTCTCTGCTGATTTTCTGTTTTCATTTTCATTGATTTCTGTTCAAATTTTGATTATTTATTTCTTCTGCTTACTTTGTATTTAAGTACTTCTTATCTATTTTCCTAAAATGGAAACCTAGATTATTGAATATAGATGTTTCCTTTTTTTCTAATACTATTGATGCTAAAAATCCCCTCTAAGCCATGCATTCACTGCATCCCAGAAATTTTGATAAGTTTTCTTTTAATTTTCATTTAGTTTGAAATACTTAAAATTTTTTCTTAAGATTTTCCTTTAACCCATGTTTTCTTTTTAAATATGCTGTTTAATCTGCAAATAATTGGTATCGTCTAGCTTTCATCCTGTTTAATTCCATATGGTCTGAGAAAAAGTTCTGTATGATTTCTATTTATTTAAAATTTGTTAAGGAGGGTTTAATTGCCCAGAAGGTCTGTATGAGATTGAGAAGACTGTGTATACTGCAGTTGTTGGGTGAAATGGTCTATAAATGTTGGTTAGGTCTAGTTGATTGAAGATGTCATTAAGTTCAACTATATCCATACTAGAAACCTTCTGGATAGGTTAATTAAAGGTAGAATGGTTTGTTAAGAAATTTTAGTGACATTTAAAATAACTTTTTAGTATTTTTCAAAATACTCATATGTTTTTTCACTTTTGATCTTATATATTACAAAGAAGTGAACAATTTCAAATAATTTCTAGTACTAATCATTCTTGCATTTCTAAACTTATTTTAATCCTTAAATTTTGTATGCAATTCTGGATTTTGTTCAATTTTTACTCATGATTTTTACATTAATATTTATCTTTAATTATTCAGATTTTTTTGTGGTTGCTCTATAATTTGAACTATTTTATACTAATTTTGAAAGAAAGAAGTATAATAATTTCCTCCTTATTCCATAATCTGGAATACTTTAAATTATATGGCAAAATTATCTGTTTCTTGAGAGCTTAATGAACTCACTGGTAAAATCTTCTGGACCTTGCCAAATTTTAAAGTCTCTGACAATGTTTTCATGTTTTTCATGGTTATTAATCAATTCAAATTTTCCATACAATTTTTTTTCTTTTACTGATACATAGTTTACATAGTGGGGTACATAAGCTTCATCTGTGATGGAGAATTAAAATCTTGCCCAGACATTCAATCCCTAAGAGATTACACTGCCTCCAGAGAGCTCTACAAGAAACACTTAAGAAAGCATTAAACACAGAAGGAAAAAAAAGAACAACACCCTTCAAAGATGGAAAACACACATGAATCAACCCGAAAATCAAAGGAAAGGAAACAAACAGGAACAACAAACTACAAGAACCTCTAACATCTCAATAATTAGCCTAAATGTGAATGGACTAAATGTACCACTGAAAAGACACAGAAGAGCAAAATAGATAATATATCATGAGGCAACAATATATTGTGTTCAAGAAACTAATCTCACCAGAAAGGACACTCACAGACTCAAAGTAAGAGGAAGAGAAATAAACTTTTAGGCAAACAGAACACAAAAGAAAGCAGGAGTTACAATCTTAACATCAGACAAAATACCCTTTAAGCTATCAAAAATTTAAAAAGGAAGGTCACTACATAATGATAAAAAGTTCAATCCATCAACAAGAAATATCCATCCTAAACATATAAGTACCCAACATAGAAGCACCGACTTTCATAAAGCAGCTCCTGGATAAACTTAAAAAAGATATTGACTCTGATACTATCATAGCTGGAGACTTAAATACACCACTCAAGACCCTAGACAGATCATCAAGACAAAAAAATCAATAAAGAGATCCAGAACCTCAATGTGATGCTTGACCAAATGGACTTAATTGATACCTACAGAACACACCACCAGCAATGACGGACTATACATTCTATTCATAACCACATGGAACATACTCTATTAAGACTGACCACATCCATGGCCATAAGTCAGACATAAACAAATTTCACAAGATTGAAATCCTGCCATGCACCTTATTAGAACACAGTAGAATAAGCACCAATAAAGTTCCCCCCAAAACCCACAAAGACATGGACACTAAACAGCTTGATGCTAAGCAATTCCTAAGTCAACATGGAAATCAAAACAGAGATTAAAAGATACCTGGAAACAAATGAAAATGAAGAAACATCTTACCAAAACCTCTGGGATGCCATGAAATCAGTACAAAGAGAGGAATTCACATCTCTACTAACACATATGAAGAAAATGGAAAGACAACAAGTTAACAGCCTAACAAATCACCTAAGGGAGCTGGGAAAAAGCAAGAAACCCTAACTTCAGCAGAAGGATCCAGATCACCAAAATAAAAGCCCAAATTCGGGACATAGAAGACAAAAATATAATACAAAAAGCTGGTTCTTTGAAGGAATAAACAAGATTTATGGTTCCCTAGC